GGGTGTCGGGGTGTTTCCTAGGCTTCGAGGGGTGTTAGGGTAATTTGAGAGAGAGTAAAGGGTGAAAGAGAGTGAAAGAATATGAGAAATTGTAACCTAAACTCGGAGACCTTCGCATTCTATTTATAGTAGGGGCCTGACCCTCGGTACGTTGGGCGTACCTGCGTGGACGCTTAGCGTTCGTTACGCGGGGGGTACACCTCGTACGCGGGGCGTACCAAGCGACGTGGCACTGGTTCGGTTCTCGGGCCTCGGACGTGTCAAACCTGCATGATACGTGTCCTTCGTCCGTAGTACGTTGGGCGTACTTCTCCGGTCCAGCCTCGTAATTTGTGCCATAAACTTCAAAATTTCGTAACTTTCGCATATAAACTCCGTTTTTGACGTTCTTTATATCCACATGTAGGTGAGATTATACTCTACAACTTTCGTTTAGATTCCGTCGGCTAATTTTGAAATCATTTTTAATATTATATTTTTAACGGGTCGCGACAGGAAAAGTCTGTTAAAAATTCATAACTTCTTCATCCGACGTCCGTTTTCGTCTGTTTTTTTACCGTTGTACTACTATTGACGAAATATTAGATTCCCGTTTAGGTTGTGTCGGCTAAAAATCATACGATCTTTATTTCGAGTTTCGGGTTGTGTACTGCTATGCCGAATCTTAGAAAAATCATAACTTCCTCATACGAAGTTAAATTTTGACGTTCTTTTTATGAAAGTTCTCGGTTTAACGAACACTACGACTTTCATTTAGATCACAAAGGCTAAAAAGTATTTTATCGTAAACTCACTTTTTACGTCATATAGCATCGTGTCGGTTTTGTCGCCTAAACGTTTCTAACGAGATAATTTACAACTTTCAATAACCTTATTTTTACTTATTTCCAACTTCAATTTTACATTTTCGTTAATTTCAATATTTGACTTTTGATTGGAATCTTATAAGACTTCCAATACTTTCCGAATGATTCTAAACATAGTTTTACTTCAAATCTCATAAAACTATCTTATTAGAACTCAATGCTCAAAACCATATACTATTTAATAATGTTCATTTTTAAACTAACAAAACATGATAACTGAACGTGTATGTTACACTCGTTGACTTGAATGTCATCCAGTGACACTAACGCATCCTCGTCTAATATGCACTTCCGCAATTGCGAAACGTGGAAAGTGCTATGAATCTGACGGAGCTCCTCTGGAAGGTCCAGTCTATACGCCACCTTGCCAACCCTGGCAATAATCCGAAATGGTCCAATATATCGGGGACCCAACTTTCCCCTCTTCCTGAAGCGGATCACACCCTTCCAGGGTGAGACCTTCAGCAACACCATGTCGTCGACCTGAAATTCCAACTCGGATTGGCGCCGGTCGGCATAAATCTTCTGCCGACTTTGAACAGTCTGCAATTGCTACCTGATCTGCTAAATCTTCTCGGTGGTCTACCGAAACACCTCGATCCGACCCATGACCCTGTGGCCAACCTCGCCCCAACAAACTAGGGTCCGACATTTCCGCCCATACAATAGCTCAAAAGGTGGAGCACCAATGCTGGAATGAATATTGTTGTTGTAGTAGAACTCTGAAAGGGGTAGGTGGGAGTCCCAGCTCCCGCTGAAATCAATGACGCAGACCCGCAACATATCCTCAAGGGTCTGAATGGTCCGCTCGCTCTGGCCGTCTGTCTGCAGATGGTAAACGGTGCTGAAATGAAATCTCGTGCCCAGTTCCTCATGGAACTTCTGCTAGAAACGGGAGGTGAATCGAACATCACGGTCTGACACAACAGAGATCGGCACCCCGTGGTGAGCAAAAATCTCGCGGAGATACACATCGGCCAACTTCTCGGCCGACGAACTCTCCCGAATAGCCAGAAATGGGCGCTCTTGGTCAATTGATCCATGATGACCTATTTAGCATCATATCTCTTCGCTGTCCTCATCAACTTGGTGATAAAGTCCATCGTGATCTGCTCCCATTTCCACATGGGAACCTCCATAGGCTGTAGCTTGCCATGCGGCCTCTGATGCCCGGCCTTGACCATCCTGCAGGTCAAGCACCTCTCAACGTACCATGTGATCTCTCTCTTCATGCATGGCCACAAATAACTCAAACTCAAATCCTGGTACATCTTGGTGTCCCCTGGGTGAATATAGAAACAAGACTTATTAGCCTCCTCTAGCACGATCTGTCTAATCCCACCAGACACCGGAACCCACACCCGACCGCAGCGGGTCAACAACCCACGACTGTCCTGAACAAACCGGGTGATCTTGCCCATGATCCTCTCAATCTTCCAATTTTCCTCTCGTACTCCCTCGGCCTGAGCCTCTCTAATCAATCCCACTACTGGAGAGTCCATGAAAATCCTCATACATGACGTCGGAACAGAAGATCCAGTCGACTTGCGGCTCAAAGCATCCGCCACCACGTTCGCTTAACCCGGATGGTAAAGGATCTCACAGTCATAATCCTTGACTACGTCTAGCCACCCGGATAGTAAAGGATCTCTGGTCTTGGAATACACCAAGATATCATCGATGAACACAATAACTGAGCGATCAAGCATCGGCCTGCATATCCAATTCATCAAGTCCATGAATATTGTCGGCGAGTTGGTGAGCCCAAACGGCATCACCACGAACTCGTAATGTCCTTAACGAGTCCAGAACGCAGTCTTCTCCACGTCCTCCTCCCTCACCCTAACCTGATGGTACCCAGACCTCAGATCTATCTTGGAAAACCAAGATGCTCCCTGTAACTGATCGAAGAGGTCATATATCCATGGAAGGGGATAACGGTTTCTTCACCGTCACCTTGTTCAGCTCCCGGTAGTTAATGCACAATCGATGTGCACCATCCTTCTTCTTGACAAAAAGGATCGGCGCTCCCCACGGAGAACTGCTCGGACGGATAAACTGCTTGCCTAGTAGCTCTTGCAATTAAGATGACAGCTCCTGCATCTCGGGCGGTGCCAATCGGTACGGCGCCTTGGCAATAGGGTCCGCACCTGGCACAAGGTCGATCCTGAACTCGACCTGCCTCTCAGGAGGCACTCCGGGTAATTCCTCTGGAAACACATCGGCGAACTGTCTGACGACTGGAACCTCTGAAAACCGAGACCTGATCCCTGTCCCGCGTATCCACAACATAACCAAATAACCCGCACACCCATGATATATGTATTGTCGAGCCCCGGCGGCTGAGCAAAACCCTGAACCCAACCTGGTGCCCTCACCATAGATAACCAGATCTCCCCCACTTGGGTTCGAACTACCACATGCTGACCCTCGCAGTCGATCATGGCACCGAAACGACTCATCCAGTCCATACCACTATAACGCAAACATCCTCCATGGAATCGAAATCAAATCAATTGGAAAAGACACCCCGAATATCTCTAGAACGCAGCCCTGATAAACTAATGAAGCAGAAACCCCATGTTCGTTGGCGATGAAACTCGCAACGAACACTTTATCTCTCCTAAGGGCAAACCAAAATCCCTGCTAAATATTGAGCGACAAAAGACCGACTCGCTCCCGAGTAAAACAATACCAGAGCAGGCAAAGAGTTCACTAAGAACGTACCTAACATAGGTACAACCACATAAGCATGCAATAAACATACTAAATGAAATAAGGGACAGAAACATACCAGCCACCACATTTGGTGTTGTCCTGGCCTCCTCGGCAGTGAGCTGGAAAGCGCGTCCCCGAGCCCTCGGGGGCACCGCCCTACCCTGACTCCCATCAGTGATCCGCAAAGTAGCCGGCACGGCACCTTGGTAGCGAGCAACGGGAAGTTGACCTTCATATGTCCAACTTGATCACAATGATAAAAGATCCTCATATCTGGAGTCGGGGCGGACTGGCGACAGTCCCTCGCATAATGCCCCTCCTTTCCACATTTGTGGCACCCACTACCAGATCGACATGCTCCAGTATGAACCTTCCCGCACTTCCCAAAGTGGGCCACGCTGACCTCCTGTCCTAGAATCGGCGGCTTTAAACCGCTTCGGCGCCGGCTGCAACTGCCTCGGGGCCTGCCTCTACACCCTCAACTGAAGCTCGATCTCCAACTCACACCGCCTAGCGGCCTCCTGTAACTCCAGTAAAGTATCACAACGTTGGGTAGCAACGAACTGTCTGATGTCAATCTTGAGCATGCTCAGATAACGAGTCATCTGAGCCTGCTCAAAAGCAAACTTCGGGCAAAACATCGCCCTCTCGGTAAACATCCGGGTGATCTCCGTCACTGAATCTGTAACCTGTCTAAAGTCCAAAAACTCTTGATCAAGTCTCTCACACTCATCCCGAAATTCGGGGCTTCGTGTTATCGAAATCCCCAATACTAAAATACTCGGCTCGCCTGGCCTAACACCCGCAGCCGCAACAGCTGCAGCAGTCTCAACAATGGCTGAAAATACACAAGGAGAAATAAAAATTCGCATAAACAACGGGAACCACTCCTAACAAAAACCTAGGGATGGATTTTCCTTGCTACTATCGTATGGGTCCAGTGCTTTCGAATAGTACTAGCCCATATACCACCTTCCACACCTACCACCCATATTTGTCTCAAGGATCATCACAACACCCTAGCA